AAATGAGATTAGAAACACACTGATTTTTAAAAACAAATTACAGGTAAAACATAATGTAGTATTATCCTGTCAATTTATCAGTTCATTCAAATTATAACATATTCAAAATAATTGCAAATCCCCAAGAAACTATGTACTATAACTTATTTAAGAACCTGCTTTTTTCCAATTCAAATTCTCAACAGAAATTGCAACAAACAGCAGGCTGGAAGAATCAGAGGAACGAATTAATGACCTAGAAGATAAAATAATGGAAACTAATCAAGCCGAACAAAAGAGAGAAGAATTACACAAGAATAGACTTCGGGAACTCTGATTCCATCTAACACAGTAACATTCATATTATAGGATCCCAGAAGAAGAAGAGAGAGAAAAGGAGGCAGAATATTTATTTGAAGAAATAATAGCTGAAAACTTCCCTACTCTGGAGATGGAAACAGATATCCAGATTCAAGAGGCACAGAGAAGGCCCAAGAAAATCAACAAAAGCAGATCCACACCAAGACATATTGTAATTAAATGGGCAAAATATAGTGATAAAAAAAATTTAAAAGGAGCAGGACAAAAAAAAAAAAAAAAGACAGTTACATAAAAGGGAAACCCCATAAGGCTATTAGGGGATTTTTCAGCAGACATTTTCCAAGACATGATCCATTCAAAGTACTGAATGGGAAAAATCTGCAGCCAAGAACACTGTATCCAGCAAGGCTATCATCCAAAACGGGAGAGGAAAAAAAAAGTTTCCTAGACAAACAAAAAAATAAAGGAGTTTCTGACCACTAAACCAGCCCTGTAAGAAATATTAAAGGGAACTCTTTGAATGGAAAGGAGAGACCAAAAGTGGCAGTATGAAGGTAAGAAACACAAAAGCAGTAAAAATTAGTATTTCTGTAAAAAAAAAAATCAAAGAGTTCAGAAAATAAAAAGATATAAAATATGGTATCACATACCTAAAACGTGGGAAGGAGAGGAGTAATGAACGGGTTCAACTTAAATGACCATCAACTTCATATAGACTGCTACACGCAGAAGATGTTATATACAAACCTAATGGTAACCATAAGTAAAAAAACCACTAAAAATATGCAAAGAATAAGGAGAAAGAAATCATATCACTAAATATATCACTAGAGAAATAGATCACTACCAAAAACCAGCAAACCACGAAAAACAGAAAGACAAGAAAGGATCAGAGAAAATCTTCAGAAACAACTACAAAACAATACAATAGCAATAAATACATATCAATAATTACTTTGAATGTAAACAGACTTAATCACTTCAAAAGACACAGAGTGACAGAATGGATTAAAAAAAAAAAAACAAGACCCATCCAAATGCTATCTATAGGAGACTCATTTCAGATCTAAAGACACCTGCAGATTGAAGGTGAGGGATGGAGAAACATTTATCACCCATATGGATGTCAAAAGAAAGCCAGGGTAGCAATACTTATATCGGACAAAATAGAATCCAAAACAGAGACTAAAACAAAAGACAAAAAAGGACACTATATAATCATAAAGGGGACAATCCAACAAGAAGATATAATAATTGTAAATATTTATGCACCCACATGGGAGCACCCACATACATAAAAGAGTGCATAACAAACATAAAGGAACTAATCAATAATAATACAATAATGGTAGGGGACTTTAACACCCACACTTACATCAATGGACAGATTATCTAAACAAAAAAATCAACAAGGAAACAATGGCTTTGGATGACACACTGGACCAGATGGACTTAACAGATATATGCAGAACATTCCATCCTAAATCAGCTGAATAGACATTCTTTTCAAGCGCATATGGAACATTCTCCAGAACAGATCATATATTAGGCGACAAAACAAGCTGAAACAAACTCAAGAAGATCAAAGTCATACCATGCATCTTTTCTGACCACAATTCTATGAAACTAGAAATTAACCACAAGAAAAATCTGGAAAGACCACAAATACATGGAGGTCAAATAACATGCTACTAAACAATGAATGGGTCAACCAGTAAATAAAAGAAGAAATAAAAAAAATAGAAACAAATAAAAATAAAATCACCACAGTCCAAAACTTTTGGGATACAGCAAAAGCAGTTCTAAGAGAGAAGTTTATAGCAATATTTGCCTACCTCAAGAAGCCAAAAAAAATCTCAAATAAAAACCTAACCTTACACCTAAGGAGCTAGAAAAAAGAACAACAAATAAAACCTAAAACCGGCAGAAGGAAATAAATAATAAAGATTGGAACATATATAAATGATAGAGAAACTAAAAAAACAACCTAACAGCTCAGTGAAACTGGAGCTGGTTCTCTGAAAAAAAAAAAAAATCAATAAAATTGATAAACCTCTAGCCAGACTTATCAAGAAACAAAGAAAAGGGACTCAAAATTACAAAGGAGAGAGGAGAAATAACATCACCACAAAAATACAAACAATTATAGAAGACTAGTATGTAAAACTATATGCCAACAAACTGGACAACCTAGAAAAATAAATTCCTAGAAACATAAAAACTACCAAAACTGAAATAGGAAGAAATAGAAAATTTGAACAGATAACCAGCAAAGAAATTAAATCAGTAATCAAAAGACTTCCAACAAACAAAAGTCCAGGACCAGATGGGTTCACAGGTGAACTGAACCAAACATTTCAAGAGTTAATATCTATTCTTTCCAAACTAACCCCCAAAAAAATAGAAAAGGAAGGAAAATTTCCAAATTCCTTCTATGAGGCCAGCATTACCCTGATACCAAAACCAGATAAAGACACCACAAAAAAAGAGAACTACAGGCCAGTACCTCTGATGAACATAGAAGCAAAAATCCTCAACAAAATACTAGCAAACCAAATCAACAACACATTAAAAAAAAAATCATTCATTGTGATCAAATGGGATTTATTCCTGGATTGCAAGGGTGGTTCAATATTTGCAAATCAAGCAACATGATACATCACGTCAATAAGCAAAGGATAAGAACTAAATGATTATTTCAATAGAGGCAGAAAAAGCATCTGACAAAATACAACATCCATTCATGATAAAAACTCTCAACAAAGTAGGTTTAGAGGGGATATACCTCAGCATAATGAAGGCCATAATATGAAAAACCCACAGCTAATATCATCCTTAATGGGGGAAAAAACAGAGCTTTTCCCCAAGGTCAGGAACAAGACAAGGATGTCCCCTCTCACCATTTTTATTCAACTGAAGTTCTAGCCACAGTAATCAGACAACAAAAAGAAATAAAAGGCATCCAAATTGGTAAGGAAGTGGTCAAACATTCACTATTTGCAGCCGACATGAAACTATATATAGAAAATCTGAAAGACCCCACCAAAAAACTGCTAGAACTGATAAATGAATTGAGTAGTCGCAGGACACAAATCAATATACAGAAATCTGTTGCATTTCTATACACCAATAATGAAGCAGAATAAAGAAAATAATCCCGGGGCGCCTGGGTGGCTCACTTAAGCGACCAACTCAATTTTGGTCATGAAATCAGGGTCCTAGGATCAAGCCCCGTGTCAGGCTCACCGCTCAGCAGGGAGTCTGCTTCTCTCCTTCTCCCTCTTCCTCTACCCTTCCCCCACCTTGCACGTGCATGTGCAAGCTCCCTCTCAAATAAATAAATCTTAAAAAAAAAAAAATCCCATTTATAATTGCATCAAAAATAAGATACTGAGCAATAAACCAAACCGAAAAGGTGAAAGACCTGTATTCTGAAAATTTTAACACACTGATGGAAGAAATTGAAGATGACACAAAGAAATGGGGAAAGACATTCCATCCTCATGGATTGGAAGAATAAATATTGTTAAAATGTCTATACTACCCAACGCAATCTACAGAACCCTAACTCTCTCTTCACTGAAAGCTAGACTACTACAACATTACAATTGAAGATTTAAAAAAAAAAAAAAAAGAGGAAGGTCCACCTTGCCTAGTAACATGGTAACAGCTACCACAAGCATATGAGTACTTCATTTTCATATGGTTGCTTTACCTCATATTAACATAGATTAAGAAGTATACTTACTTTGAATGGAAAACTGGATTTCACCTATTATGACAATTGTGATTGACAGGGCCTGCCTGCAGTGCTAAATTGAGAATGATTCTGAGGCTGGTTCCAGACTCAGTAGAACTGTTATGAAGGATTAATAATGTCCACTATGAGTGAAAAAGGGAGAATGAGGGTATGTACTATGTACTTGACATCTTTAATATCTTGCATTTTCTCTGAAAAATTGTATGCCATTTGCAGGACCCCACCAAAAAAAGATGAATTTCACTCATTTAATATTAAAGTCAACTACCACCCAATCGATTAATGGATAGGATTATAATGAACACTAGGGAAATCTATCCAGACCATGAGCCATTCCTTCCTTTCTCAGAAACATTCCCTGATCTGGGAGGCTGGGATCCTTCTTCCCTTGTTACAAGTGACTGATCCCTGAGTGGATCCTAATCCAACACAGGGTAACAAAGTTTCTCTCTTGGGAATTGAGAATTAGAATTCACAAACAGCCAGTTTTGTTTTTTTTTTTATATATGCGGAACTGCAACATATGCAAAATATGGAGATCATGTGCTACCATTCAGAGAGAGAAGCACAGAAACAATTCAGTCTGTGGGGAGATGAATAAAGAAAATCTACAGAGCCAGAGAAACAAGGGAAATTAGGAGAATATTCTCTGGATTCCTGAGAACCTTCCTGTCCCTAGATTCTTAGATTCTCTTTTCTTTAAGCTAGCTTGAGTTGATTTATTTATAGACAAAGGGTATTAACTAATAAAGGATAATAGGGTTGCAAAGGCTAGGAGAAAATATTCTTTTAGAAGAGGCCAAAAAATATATAAAGGAATAAATAGAAAAAAAATCAAATTACTTCTTAACCTACATTAAAATGATGGTAGAAATTAATTCCTTCAGTTTTGTACCCTCTTCTTAAAGAGTATATGTGATAAAACTTAACAAAACCTGACCTTTGTTTCTTCTGTCCTCACTGCATCCAGCAGATAATGCAGAAGCTCCTGACTGTCCTGTTGCTGGAAACTTTTAAATCGGGGGGCCCTATGATTTAAAAACAAAACAGGAAAGAAAAAAAGATCATTTCATCAACAATATATTACTACCGTCCAAAATCATTTTTAAATAGCATATAGTCAAAGATTCAATCTAGTCCTACTAAGTTTTTCTAAGTTGAAATACCAGATATGGTCACTGTTCCAATTAGGATGAGATCTTAAGTACACAGAGAATAATATGGCCATCATTTATCAAGCAACTACTACATGCAAGCACAGTACATATGTTAAGATTTACATATGTCAAGTCATAAAATCCTCAAACAAGCTTGGGATGCCCTATTTTCTCCAGCTTATATACAAGGGCTTAGAGGGATTATTTATAGAATTTGCAAGGTCACATAGCAAGCAAAAAAACAGTATTCAAACCCAAGCCACCTTGATCTATTATCTTCCTACCTTGAATAACCAAAAGAAAAACAAGAGGTTATTTATATTAAAATAAAGAACTATAAACTGATATCTCTGTGAATGTATTTATTTTAAGGATTTAACAATTAGAATTCCTTGTATTAATTAAAGGATCAGGTGCTATTCATGGAGACTTCAACAGAGCAAATATTTAGTTGATTTCAGTAACCTTAAAAAGTAGTATTTTCTGCAATAAACTCCAATACTAAAATAAGCATTTTGCCTTAAATGAAAATAAGTACTAAATTTAGATAGTGCTCTAAGACAAAGAATTTTGTCTAAGTAATATAAAAGAGTAAGAATATGTTATGGTAGTACAAGTTCACAATGGTCTCATTAAGATATGTGCAACATATCTCATTTGATATGCACAGCAGTGCTGTTAAGAAATTCATAATTAATATGAACTCTGTTTTACACTTGAGAAAACTGAAGAACAAGCTAAGTGCCACTGACATAAATCCAGTTCTTTTGATTCTTAAGTCCGGTATTTTAAGCATTATTTCTCATCTCATAATAAACATTCACCCCAGTAAGGCACTACTGTGAGTCCCTGGTGCTAAAAAGCTATCTGAAATAGCCTGTAACAGGAGTGATAATTTCAGTTACTCACTCTTGTTAAGAAGTAGCAAAAGCAATAGGATGTTGAGAAGACTCTGATTTACTCCCCTTGTGGGCTTCCCTTTCTGCATGTGGTAGATATTGTTCACCTTCTAGATCAGAGTTGAGGACAGAAACCAAGATGGACACAAATCCCAACCCTATTTGGGCTTCCATGGCTGGAATCCACATAAGGCTGAAATTGGATGACATGACACTTGTGCTGTAGGCATCAAGGAAGGCCAATGAAATGGAAGAAGACTGCAAGGGGGAAACCAGGGAATCCTTCAGGGATCCTCATCTGCCAGGTGGCAGGTAGGAGGACCAGTCTATGGCTTTCAAAGCAGATGCGCAGGATGGAAATTGTTCCTGAACAAAGGAGAAACTTTCTCTACCATGTCCCTGCCTATAGCTCCATCTTAACTATGCACAAAGCAGTACCGCCTTCTAAACCACTCAAGAAAATTTAATAAACCTAGATTTTTTTCTTTCTTCTTCTACCTAGGACTGGGTAAAAAATTCTGTGATGACTTACAGAATCTCTAATGGAGCCTATCTGATCTACAAATACCAAAGAGACCTTCAAACTTAAAGAGAAAAATCAACAAACATATGAAGAGATTCATGTATTCAAAATGAGGAGAACATGAAATATACACAGGAAATGTACCTTAGTAAAAGTGTTACTGTGGGAAAGAGGAGAAAACTTAAAAATCTCAAGTTGTAAGAGGAAAATGTATGCATACTCATAAAACAGGAATAGATTATCAAGAAAAAGAAATTCAGAACAAGAGAGAATTCGTGGAGATGTCTTGTGGATGAAGATGAATCAGTCTGTTGATAATCCAAAAACTCTCTCTACTCCAGGCATATTGACAAAATATAAAAAGAGAAAACAAGCAAAAAAATATATATATGTCAAAACTTACCCAATGGTATACTTTAAATATGTACAGCTTACTGCATGCCAAATATACTTTACTAGAGCTATTCAGAATATCCATTAATACAATTCTTGTATCAACAAATTAAAAAAAACACATGATATTTCAACAGATGCAGAAAAAGCATTTAATAAAATGCAATACCCATTCTTTTTTCTTAAAAAAAAAAAAACTAACATTTATTATCTCATGGTTTCTCTGGGCCAGGAATCAATGTGTCCCAATGGTAATAAATAATGTTTATTTAAATAACAAATATTTGTTGGGTGCCTGGGTGGCTCAGTCAGTTAAGCGTCTGCTTTCAGCTCAGGTCATGATCCTGGAGTTCTGGGATCCAGCCCTGAGGCGGGCTCCCTGCTCAGTGGGGAGTCTGCTTCTCCCTCTGCACCTCACTTCGCTCATGCTCTCTCTCTCTCAAATAAATATCTTAAAAAAATAAAATAAATAACAAATTTGTTTTTTTAAGAAAAAAATGAGAACTGGAGTTTACTGAATGTTTTTATTCTTGATGAAAACTCTCAGAAAAAACTAGGAATGGGAATTTCCTCAACCTGATAAAAGGCATCTATGAAAAACCTACAGCTGTTATCATACTTATGTGTTAAAGACTGAATGTTCTACTCCTAATATCAAAAAGAAAGCAAAGATGCCTACTTTTTACCACTCCAACATTGTCCTGGAGGTCCTTGCCAGTTATATAAGATAAGAAAAATGTATAAAAGGATACAATTGAAAAGGAAGAAATAAAATGGTCTTTATTTACCAATGGCATTATTGTCTACATAGGAAATCCTCAAGAATCTATATAAAACTACTATAACCCTTGAGCAAGGGAACAAGAAACAAGATCAATATACAAAAATCAAGTATATTTCCTTATATTTGGAATGTACAACTGGATATTGAATTTTTTCTAAACTACCAATTTACAATAAATAGTGTTTAAAAATATGAAATTCTTAAGGTAAATCTAACAAGATAGTGCAGGATTTGTAAGCTGAAAACCACAAAAAATTGATGGGAACAATCAAATACCTAAATAACTGAAAAGATATTTCATAATCATACATTGGAAGACTCAACTTTGTTAAGATGTCCTCTCCAAAATGATCTCCAAATGCAATCCCAATTAACAAACTGATTCTAAAATTCATAAAAAAGCAAAGGACCTGGAGTAGCTAAAAAAAAAAAAAAAAGTCTGAGCACTCACACTATCCAATTCTAAGACTTACTATGAAGGTACAGTAACGAGACAGTGCAGAACTGGGGTAAGGGTAGACATATAGATCAATGGAACAGAGTCCAAAAATAGACTCAACATATATGGCTTAAATCTTCACCAGATTTTTTTAAAATTACTTCTCTTAATATAAATCTCTTTTTAAAGTAAACATAATAAAGCAAATGCAATTTTTAAAATGTTTTCAAATAATGTTTGATCCAGTAGGTCTATTTATCCTACAGATGTACTTTCACAAGTGTGATACACACACACACGTTAAATCAAATAAGTCATACCCACATGTACTAATATGGAAAAATGTAAAAAACATAATAAGCAAAACAAGCAAGTTGCAAACAATTTTATATGTCTGTGCCTGCATAATCACTTTTGAAAAAAATAAATAAGGTACAAATAGTATTTTGAACTTTTATCCATGAGCACCTATTATTTTAACAATTTTAAAAATTTTATAAATCTTTAATAAAACCAGGAGCACCTGGGTGGCTCAGTCGGTTAAGCGTCTGCCTTAGCCTCAGGTCATGATCCCAGGGTCCTGGGATCAAGCCCCACATCAGGCTCCCTGCTCTGCGGGGAGCCTGCTTCTCCCTCTCCTCCCCTTTCATGCGTGCGTGCTCTCTCTCTCTATCTCTGTCTCTGTCTCTCTCTCTCAAATAAATAAATAAAATCTTTTAAAAGAACCTTTATAAAACCAAAAAAAAAAAAGGATACAAAACAGTTATTTTTGGCAGAGCCAAAAACAAATTTCGAAAGCACATAGAATCCTAAAAACTTTTCAACTCTGTGAGGCACCAATGTCACAAAAATCTGAGGATTTTTTTGTTCTTTGGGCTTTGGAAAAAAACAGCCATTTGCCACCAAATGAAACATAATAAACCCTCTTTATTTTGTACTACATTCAAAATACCATGGCACATTTTGTTAAGTGAAATAAGCCAGTCACAGAAAAACAAAGAGCATGATTCCACTTATATAAGGAATCTAAAATAGGCAAATTCGTTGAATCAGAGAGAGTGCAATGGTGTCTACCAAGGGCTGGAGTGAAGGAGAAATGAACATACAGGCATAATCAATGGGCATAAAGTTTCACTCAAGCAAGATGGACAAGCTGTAGAGATCTGCTATTCAGCATTGTACCTTAATCAACAATAATCTATTGTACACTTAATTTTTAAGAAGGCAGAACTCATGGTAAGTGTCCTTTCCACAACTAAAATTTTTTAAAAAAATTAACATTGGTATAGTTCTAGAAGATAAAATATAATACCATGGCACAAATAACTAGCTTAAATTAAAATGAAATTTTAAAGTCTGGAGATATACAAAAATGCAAGTTCCCATTTAAAGAATTTTGTTTCTATATATTTTAGTAATTGTGGACTGGGACTAGCTCATGAGCTCCATGACAGGGTCTATTTTTAATATATTATACATTGTGTATCCTTAGATTCTAGCAAGTACCTGATGCAAATAAGCTCTCAGTTTTTTAGATGAAAGAATAAATGAAAGAATTAAAGTTAAGTTAGGTCCTTTATGGTATGTATGTATTTCTGGGCACACAAGGATTTTGTTTTTGAACATACAGTACTATCTTGAGAAATTCACTTAAATTCTATTTGCCTCGAAGGTCATCTTTAAAACTAAGGAAGGCACCTGGCTGGCTCAGTTGGTAGAGCATGCAACTCCTAATCTTGGGGTCATGAGTTTGAACCCCACATTGGGAGTAGAGTATACTTAAAAAATAATAAAAGTAAAAATAAGAAAACTAGATTTAGATGATCTATTAATAGCATCTTTTAATTCTATAATGTTCTTACTTTTTGTTATTACATCATGGGCTTCTGAATCAGGACAGACCTCTATTTGAATGCTGGCTTTGTCACTATAAAACTAGGTAAGCTACTCAACTTTTGTGAGTCTCAGTTTCCTTATTTATAAAATGGGGATAAACAAGCACTTCTTCAGAGTACTATGAGATACAACTTACATAAAGCACAGAGCTGCAACTAAATAAGTATTAGTTCTTTCTCTTGAGAGTCTAGACAATAATAGCGATGTTATAGTAAGAGTGAAATTACTCATATTAAGTGATATATTAGAATTTTATAACTCAATTATTTATATCAAGAATTTAGATGCACCCACTTCTGACAAAGTTGATTAAAAAGAACTTTAGGAGAAAGTGGTCCTTTTTCAGTCTCCTTCATGCTGTGAAGAAACACCAACAAGGCTGAGGTCAATGGTCCAGGGCTTGAAAGTTCCACTATTAGTGGGTCCTTTAAAAACATGATCAACTCTATGTCAGAAATATGCAAATTTAAAATTAAATATTATTAAAAATCTAAGTTATACTTTGCTTAAATGATAACTAAATTGCCTTAAGTGTATTAAGAAACCTTATTCCTACATATATAAGATGAATATTAAAAAATGGAAAATGGAATTAAATGCCTTACCTTGAAAAACACAGGTATTCTCGTAACCTTTTGCCCCTTATTTAGTAAAACTATTAGCTTAAGAATAAAATCACCAATCTCTAGTTGCTTATAACCGTCCCTTAATGTGCTCTCCTAGAGGCGCCTGGCTGGCTCAGTCAGTCCAGCATGCAATTCCATCTCGGGGTTGTGAGTTTGAGCTCCACGTTAGGTGTAGAGATTACTTAAAAAAATAAGTCTTAAAAAATGTGCTCTCCTAAAAGCAGAATTACTTATCTACTTGACATGTATACATTTAATATATATGATCACAAATTACATTTGTTAGCAAAACTCCACACCCTTCTTTTCCCCAAATATTTTACTAATAAAATAAGGAATGGGAGATTATGTCACAAAATTGATACACCATTCTCCTTCTTTACAAGGGAGAGACATAAAGCTTGACAAGAGCAGCTAAAATTGTGTGAAGGAGAAACCCACTTTATTCTAGAATTTTCCCCCCACCAAGTTTTGTTTTCTAAAATGTTATCTTCACCAGTAACCCTCTCTCCTTATAAACAATGAATAAAAAGCAGATCCCAAATATAATCTTAGGACATTACAGAACGTTATTTTCTAAGACAACTATCAAATATGGTTATCTCATTCACGTATTCATGAAATACATGTTACATATATATTTCATACCAACTATCCTTAAAAGTCTACCATCTGACTAAAACCACAGAAAGGACAGGCTATAATTTTGCATAGCTTCTGAGTATCAAAACTGCTCTTTGCCATGTTGAAGACATGAACAGACATTTCTCCAAAGAAGACATACAGATGGCCAACAGACACATGAAAAGATGCTCAACATCACTCATCATCAGGGAAATGCAAATCAAAACTACAATGAGATATCATTTCACATGTCAGAATAGCTAAAATAAAAAACATAAGAAACAACAAGTGTTGGTGAGGATGTGGAATAAAAGGAACCCTCCTGCACTGCTAGTGGAAATGCAAACTGGTGCAGCCACTGTGGAAGATAGTTTGGAGGCTCCTCAAAAAATTAAAAACAGAACTATAATATGATCCAGTAATCACTCTGCTGTGTATTTACTTAAAGAATACAAAAACACTAATTCAAAGGGATACATGCACCCCTATGTTTACTGCAGCATTATTTACAATAGCCAAATTAGAGAAGCGCCCCAAGTGTCCATCAGTTGATGAATGGATAGAGAAGATGTGGTATACATATACAATGGCATATTATTCGGCCATAAAAAAGAATGAAATCTTACCATTTGCAACAACGTGGATGGACCTTGTAGGCATTATGCCAAGTGAAATAAGTCAGACAAAGACAAATACCATATGATTTCACACGTGGAATTTAAAACAAAACAAAACAAAAAACCCAAAAACCAGCTCACAGACATAGAGAACAGGGGGTGAGGGGATGGGTAAATTGGTGAATGAGGTCAAAACAAATTTCCAGACATTAAAAAAAAAAAAACCACCTTTGAAAAACCTATAGTTAACTTCATTCCTGATGTTAATGAAAGACTGAATATTTTTCTCCTACTCTGGGGATTTTAGGCAAGGATGTCTGCTCTCTCATCATTTCTATTCAGTATGTTACTAGAGGTTCAAGCCAGTACAATAAGGTAAGGAAAAGAAACAAAAGGCATATAGATTGCAAAGGACAAAGTAAAACTGGTGATTCAAAGAGTAGTGATCTACACTGGTAGTCCTCCAGCTCAGGTCAACTCTATGTCCCAAAGACCAAAGATCTAAGATTGAAACTCTCCTCTTAGAAGAACACAAATTTAAAGTGATCAGCTATAATATCTAATTGCCATATAGTCCTCTCAAGATACAGTTCCAAATGTAAAGTGCCTAACATTCAATCACATTTAATAGGAAATCTTTTCAAATGACTAAGCATTAACTCCATTTTAGTAGTTTTCACTACCTCACTACATTTTAGAAGAGGGCACTGGGCTCTGCTATAAAAATTTTAAAGGGCTGAACAGGCAATAAGTTTACCGGTTGCCTTTTCAACAAAGAAATACAACAATACTGTCTTTCAAAACTGCCTCCTTGGAAGAAAAAATCTAAGATTACTACACTGGGCTAAGAATTTTTAGAACTCCCCTTTCTTCTTTTCAAAAGCCATGAACTATACATATATACATCTCTTCCTCCAAAACACACACACACACACACACACACACACACAGATCAATTTCTAACTAAAAACATTATTACTACTGTCAGGGCCCTCCAGCCAAAGACTACCAGGAATACACTGGTAGTTGAACAAGAGAGGTTTATTACTTGTTGCATTTAGGAAGAACACACACCATGGGAAACCACAGGGTGTCTCAATCAGAAAGAACTGATACAGGATTTGGGCTTTGGCTGAGTAATCTGGGGGAGAGTCTAAGGAAGCAAAAGTCTGCTCTCAATTGAATGCTGTCAGAAAGTGGAGGCAATTCTTAGCCTGGGTATCCTGATAAATCTTATCTTTGAGTTAGGGTAACCCAAATTCTAGTCTCTGGGAGATAAGAATGACGCTAAAGCTGTAACTAGTAAAGAGTAGCAGTCTCTCACTTTGGTCAAGAGAGGGTGCTTGAGATTTTTCTAAGTGGTAGACTAACCTTGTTTTTGTCTGAGTTCAGATAAAAGTATGAAGTGGCCTTGCCTTGTCTTATTTTTATCAGTCTCAGAGCAACCTGGCCTGAGGTTGGCATTCTGTGAGACTGTTTGAACAATATGGCCTAACTGTGGGTGCCAAGCCAGCTTCTGAATGTTAAGGGCTGCTCTTTTTCCTTATTTCTTTTCTCACTAGCTTAAAAACCTATTTTTTGACTAGGCTCCAAAAAATCTTTAGATGCTCACTATTAAAATTAAATCTACTTTTAAAGAACTAAAATGCTATATTAAAGCAAATGTTACCAGTCACTACAAAACAGGAGTCCTAGACATTTTGTTCAACTAAATACAAACCCCTTTTGTTCGAAAATTGCCTTAATATCTTTGTATTGTTTGACCCATGATATGTTTGAACCATAACAGATCTTGAAGGTATAATGTTAGAATTTTAAAATCGGATTATTTTCATAAAATGCTTTTGAATTATTTTTTCAAAATATTTTTTCAAAACACCATCTCAGTTAACAGTGCTGAGAAATACAAAAGATCAATTTTGGCACCATCAGTGGCTCATCGAAAAAGAGCTATTATCCCAGTAGTCATTCTTCTTACCAGCTGAGATTCTGGGGAAGGAAAAATCTTGAGTTTTGTCCCATTTTCTTTGTTCTCATTCATCAGTTCCATAAGAATGTAAGATTGTGCCAAGTTCTAAAAGAAAGCAAATATAAAGTCTTCTGATTCGGTTGTAATATCCTCCGATTCTATGGGAAAAATGGTCTCTTCAACTCTCAAATGTCATCTAGCAGAGCAAAAAAATTTTTGAGTTTTAAAAAACCTGACTGAGCACATTTCACATTTAATAAATGTCAGTATTATGGACAGAACCATGGTAAAACACAGAGAAGGCCTTTTGGAAGCACTGTGCGAAAAGGTGGTGTATATATGAATGTATGTACATAGCAAAGGCTACAGATAGCCTAAAACAAAAAGAAAACAGATCTTTCTAGGGGAATGTTTAGCAGTCAATTGCTAGTTTACAGGTGTGTCAATAAATATAAAGTTATTTTTTACATTTTACAAAGATTCCTGATGGCTCTTACCTGCATGACTGCATTAAAGAAGCAAGTATTTCCTAAATTTGAAATTCCTTTCACAGACGGTACACTGCTGCCTTTTCTTCCCTTCTTTTTTTCACCTGTTTCACATTTTTCCTCACAAAGTTTAAGGATTCTAGAAAATGCACCTAAGTTAGAGAAAACGTAACTGACATAAGATGTAAAATCAAATATATATATATATAATTTGAAATAATTTAAATACATTAATTAAAATTAAGTAAGATTTTCCCCTGAATTGGTGTCCCTGAAGGGCAAGAATACAAACACAAATAAATGTCTCCAGTTTGTATCTTACTGCTACGTATTTATACCACGTACGGCACTGAGGGATAAATTCCAGATGAATTACATAGTTAAGTATAAAAGAATAAAGTAAAAAAACAAGAAGAAAACATCCAGATCTCAGTTCCTAAATACTATTCCCCGCTAAAAGAAATGAAGACTCCTTGAAGAAAATGCTGATTCTAAACCTAGGACAGCAAAGAAACAAAGTAAGCCTATAACATTTTTATTGTGCCAGAAAATAAGGAAGTGCTCAAAAAAAGTGATGAGTAGGTCAAAATACACATGCACCATCCTGAATAGGTTCCCACTGGTCCACTCTGGGACAATCTGAATATCAAAATAAAGAAGGGTCGTAATAGTTTACTATTCACTGAATAAAATGAGAATGGGTCAGAATCAATAATAGGTTTTTTAAATTGGAGGAAAAGGGAGAAACTCTTCCTTACAAGAAAATGCCAACTAATACACAGAAGAAATAATGGAATTGTAAAATCACCACATAATGGCAATTTTTTTGTATATTGTTCTTGCAACTTTTCTGTAAGTTTGAAACTTCAAAATAAAAAGCTTAAAAAATTAGAACTATATTATAATATAAAAAGGAAAATGCCTATATGTATGGTACATAAGTACATGTTTTGGGCTCACTGGTTTATATAATTAATGAAGATTTAAAAATTATATCAATTCATCATGTTTCAAAACAATCTGAAAATGAACAATTTCTAACATTTACAAACTGACATCATATTTATTCAACAGCACATTACTTTCTGAATCAAAATATAATTTGAGGGGCGCCTGGGTGGCTCAGTCCGTTAAGCAGCCAACTCCTGATTTCAGCTCAGGTCATGATCTCAGGATCATGAGATCAAGCCCCACGATGGGCTCTGTGCTCAGTGTGAGTATGCTTGAGATTCTCTGCCTCTCCCTCTGCCCGTCCCCCCACTCATGTTTTCTCACTCTCTCAAATAAATAAAATCTATTAAAAATATATATATAATTTGAAGTTTGATAGGAAATTCCCAAGTTCTCAAATCTTTTGTTTTAACCAAAATATTCTTTCAAATTTCTTTCAACCCTCAGATTTTGTAGTTCTTTGCAATTATGTTTTATTCATCTAATACTGACATACTGCCTTGCATTGCTAATTAATTTTTAAATATTTGGCTGTCTCCCCAGTCAGACTGATGGAGATCAGAAAATGTCTTACTACTGCTCTTTCTTCCACAGGGGTGTAATGTTGGGGAGAACATACATAATAAAAATTCAATATAAATGAAAACATACCAGATTAAACAGCAGATTCAGTAGCACCTTAGCCCTCCAGGCTTCTGATGTGTTCTTAAGAGTAAATAAGACATCCCCTCCCATCCTGCCCTTCTGTGCAACAACATTAAGGGAGATGAACAGGGCTGGAGGTAGCCCTGTTTTCAGGGACAGGAGCAGAGAGAAGACACCATAAAGAGAAACTGTAATCTCAAGTATGGGCAGACTGATGTCATACGCATCTTGTTGGTTCAGATAAGGAGTGACTTGGCAACTGTGACTTTTGCCAAAGAAAAAGCATCGATCAAGGGGGGTTAACACATTTCCTTATAAGATTTTCATAAGGATTAAATGCAAAGCGACTATCTGCAAAGCACCTGGCAAGGTAAACACCATGTAAGTGGGTGAAAACAGTCCATTGAGCCTCCCCAAAATTGTTATTTGTGCCAAAATCCATACCTTCATAAGTGATCCTTCATGCCCATTGTTTATCTGCCCTCACTTTTTTCTTCTCTTTAATCACTTCCTGTAACATCCTGGGTTTTTGCCCTCAAGCTTAGCGCTTATTTCTAATTGATTTTCGGAATTGCTAATATGAGTTTTGCCTTTTATATTGACTTTGTGGTTTTCATATCTTCTTGGCTTTTCTTTCTAACATGTGGAAACATCTTACCTCATTGAGAAAAATGAACTGGTGGTTTCTAAGGTTTTTTTTCATTAAGTAAATCTATTGCATGGAAAATATTTTTCTTTCAAGTCTTAGCAACTTTTATCCATGATGTAATATTTTCCCATAAACCCTACTGCCCGTTTTCTTCCCCCCTTTATTCCTGTTGGCTTATTCTTTTCTCTTTTTTTAAGACTTATTTGAGAGAGAGACAGACAGAGAGAGAGAACACACACGCAAGCAGGCGCAGGGGCAGACAAAGAGAGAATCCTCAAGCAGACTCCCTGCTGAGCATGGAGCCCAGCATGGGGCTTGATTCCAGGAGCTGAGATCATGACCTAAGATGAAATCAAGAGTCAGATTGCTTAACTGACTGAGCCACCCAAGTGCCCCTGTTGGCTTATTCTTTAAACATTATTGGTTGTTACTGGATGTGTGTTGTCCAGATGCTGAGGAGTTGTTTTTTACTCCCAACCCTAGAGTTCTGAGTTAACACAGAAAAGAATGAGCAAGATAGATCTCTTCTCCTGTCTTCCATATATTAAAACAAGTAATAAGAATTAAACCCCATACTAGAGCTTGGGGGCAAAGGCTGGTACAATCAATGGAAAGGTCACTCAAGGGCAGAGAACAGGCATGGAGAAAAGGAAAAGCAGGAAAAAGCAAGACAGTATTCAAACCTGCAAGTGGATGTAAAAGCAAATGAAATAAGCCAGTCAGTGGTCAAGAAGCATTTCACAAACAAGAGGAGGCCCCATATGGATCCTGGTTGGGTTTGCAAATGAGAGCAGTCCACCTCTTAATTATATCTGAGATTCCAACTAGAGCCTAGAATAGGCAGGTTTCAGCTCTCATTGTTGCTGTTGCCACTAGATGGCTTTATAGTGACTTTTAAGAGATTGCAGGTGCTAGAGTAATTAAATCCAAGCATTAGTCCATCTTTTTGGGTAAAGTTGTTACTCTGATTTTATATTTACAAAACTCAATCTCCAACAGGTTAAGTGATTTGCCCAAAGTCATAATGACAATCTTTTGATTATAAATCTATTGCCATTTTACCACCTAATTTCTCTTCAGTGATTTAAGTACAATAAGAAGAATTATAAAAGATAGGAAGGCAAGAGTTTTACATATCTAGGTATATGCAACCCTGATCAAATGACTCCTCAAAAGTATTTCCTTCAGTTAACATTGCCAGAATATTTTTTTGCTTATTAACATGAAAAAATGTTGGGGAAAATAAACTGCAGATTATACTAACCATATACACACACACACACCCCTATCTATAAAACATATTTTATATTATATATATAAAATATATATTATATATAAATACACATATTGTATATATAAAACACATTTTTCATATTTTTGTATTTTAATACATTTATCATTCACTTACAAAATATTTCCAGAAATAAATTACATTTTATTCTTACAAGAATAACATTTTTTAAAACTGTAACATGCAAATGATTATGTATCTGTGTACCACATTTACCCATCAGTTTTTCAAAACATCTGGGATAACATCCTAAAGTAAACAATGTTCATAAGACCATCTGGACAAAACTGCGGGCAAAAAAAAAAAAGCATAAACATATGGAAAAACAGATTTTACCCTTCCCTTAAGCAGTAAGGGATGACAAATGTTGAACCTAGATATATCCACGCTTCACTGTGCGATGCTTTTCAGCACCACCTGGCTCTCCATGCAGAGCCACCAAATATGGACAGCGCTGCCAGAAAGAACATATCCACAGGGCAATGGCAATAAAAATAGTTTATTTCATGGTTAAATAGCCACTTCACACAAGTGGCAAGGGTCTGTTTATTGACTTTTACATGTAAGTCTGTGAGAACATATTCACAATTAATTATGCTATTAGACTTAAATATTAAATAGATCAGATAATCTAACTAGAAAACAAAATGACATTTTCTAAGAACTATTTAAATGTGTTTAATTTTTTAAAATATTTATTTGAGAGAAAGAGAGACAGTGTGAGTACTGAGCAGCGGGGTGGGCAGAGGGAGAGGGAGAATCTCAATCAGACTCCCAGCTGAGCGCAGAGCAGGACACAGGGCTCGATCCCACGACCTTGAGATCATGACCTGAGCAGAAATCAAGAGTCGGACACTTAAATGACTGAGCCACCCAAGCACCCCTAAGTGTGTTTTGAGAAGTGCAAGTTTTTGGTTTTACTAAGTAGAATATTTGTAAAATGTAACAATTCAAATTCAGTTGATTTATTAAATTTCCATTTTATCAGGTACTATATGAAATACTGTCTGTAAATGTTTATATTTAATTGCTTATGATTTATGAGTATAAAGACTGATATACAGTGAACAGCATAGAGATATTAAACCTCACATTCATAATAACATCTTAGCAAAACTTTGAGAAACTAAGTATACATGTACATTTGCTCACTAAGAAACTATCAGCTGAGAATTTAAGATTCTAGTTTAAAACAAGAGTATCGGGGGCTCCTGGGTGGCTCAGTCGTTAAGCATCTGACTCTGCCCCTCCCCCTCTCAAATAAATAAATCTTAAAAAAATAAAAAATAAAACAAGAGTATCTGAATCAGTTTCTCAATAATCTGACATACTAACAGGTGTGTGTGTCTTAATAAAGAGTAATGTATTATTAATGAGGAATGATTACTGATCATTTTGCTTATAGAGATAACGCTTCTCAATCTGGCAGTGATTTTAGATCATATTCACTTTATGAACTCTTCCTTTATAAACACAGAACCAAATGCACTAAGGACTGAACTTCAAGATGTTTTGAAGTATGGTATAATTAGAAGGATAAGGCTGCTACAGCAATAACAAAAAAGACAAACTATATAAAATTTGATTACCAATTATTTATTTTGTTTTCAACTTTT